GGTAAATTGCTTGATTTACGTTGTCATTTGGTTCACCGCTCCTAACTGACAGACAGCTCCGCATCAATCAGCTCTGTGCCACATGCAAACTCTGTTGTTCATGAATTAATGCAGAAACAACAGCACGAGAAACTTTTAGACTTTCAGGTGGATGTCCAGTTACTTATGAACGACTCAGTGTGAAAATGCACATTAAAGTGGTACTATTAAAATACTGGAATACATGTTTTTGATAAATTGAAAGGTTGAGAGCCAGCCAGGTGCATTATCAGAAAGTTCAGCCACCAATGGGCGATCAAACAACCTCAATTAGTAAATCAAACTGACGACCATGTGTAATTTTCTTAGTACTTCTTCTTTTATTAATTCAGGTACTGACTGGATTTAAATATTTAGCGACAAAATGATTTTATTCCAATTATTAAATATGTATGTATTATGTTTATAATATGCTTTATGATTCATTCAGTGGTTAGTAGTTTTGTTTTTCATTTCAGAAGAGCAGATGGGGTGGTCTGACTGCCTTGCTCATGGGTAACAGGTGGATGTTCTTATTTTTTCCCTCTGTGGATCTGGTCTTTCTAACCTTATCTAACTTTAATTTCCTGGAAAATAATTTAGCTTCAAAAGCAAATGCACAAGTTTGCCTCGGAAAAAAAAGAAAAAAAATGACAATCACCTCCCTAACCCCTCCACCTCCGTCGTCAGTCCGAGGCCACGCTCAGTGGAGGAGCAGATTGAGTGGGAGCAGTGTTAATGTAATCTCCTCTGTTTAATTAGAGTGAGCGTGGTGGGCAGCTAAAGCAAACCGCATTACCCGCCATCTGGTGAGGAGCATCTCTGCTTTTACCCACTCTCACTATCATTAGCCTCTACAAGACAAGATACAAACACATACATGACAGCTATTTATTCATCCTGCCACTTTCAATACAGACTGCATGCTGCATACCATGATGAGGCCATACTCACGCTTAGACCTGTCATAAATGCATTGTCCTGTAATTACAATATGTTGCACAACAAAACCTCAAATCTGAAATTTAACTATAAAAGCCACAGACACCGGAGCTTTATAAAGGAGCGTGTGGCATTCCTGCTGTGACTTCCTATATATTTAATATACAGGAAAGGCCAAGGAATCGGACTGAGAAAGTAATCTTCCTGCATTTATTATCACTTTGCATACGGATATTACTTTACACAAGAATTAATCCAGCTTTTACGTTGATTTAACTGCAAGCTTATCCTTAGTGGATCCTAAATGGAGGTCTTCAACTCTATCACAAGAGGGCAGTGTGTTACTACAGTTCACGTCTAGCTTTGGCTGCGGGAACGGCTCAGAGCTCAGAGGATTTACTGCTCCACAGAAGGCAGAGCTCACTGGCAGCCAGTAGAGCAGTACAATTATCGAAGCACAGAGGGAGCGAAAAGCTGACAGTAAGAGTAAGTGTGTGTGTGGCCACTGGGGATTCAAAACCCTGCCCTCACCTCGTGCTGCCTCATTACCTGTGCGGCTTACAGTGGCAACATGTGATTGTGCTGTGACACTGCAGACGCACGGAGCCAACAGGCATGCTTTAGCAGAGTTAAGGTTCAGTTCAGTAATTTCTGAATATATTCATCCGATGCCCCCGCAGAGCCCGATGCTTTGGACCTGTCTGCAGGAGGAGGATTTTTGGCCCGTGTTTTTTAGGCCCTCTCAGATGCATGTGGCACACTTACTGATCCTACCCCTGCGACTGCCATGTTTTGCTGAGGCTTCCTCCACCCTACTTTGCTGTTCAAGTGGAAAAAGACTGCTCCATCATCTCAAATGCTGGCTGAATAACTGCATGAAGCTCCAGGCTTATGAGAAAACCTGTCTCCTTTTTTTCTTTTTTTACAAAATTGGAGAAATCTGAATTAATGTGCATATTTTACCAGATAGCCCAATTTTCTCCTCTTTGCCTTCTTCTCATTCTGCCTCGATGCTACACATTTCTGCATACTGTAGATGAAAAATGTTGTAAAGATCCAAGTATTCTACACAATCAATGATTCAACATTCATGTTCTGTCTTTCTTTATTTCATCCTCATAGCAAGATTCTTAATTATGTTTAAGATACCCAGGAAAAACCTGACCCCAAATCAGTACAACACTGCTCTGCGTGATCACCTTTATCCTATTATGAAAATTTCTATCAATTTCAACGTGAGCATGAAACCATGTAAATGATCTGCTATGCTATTCTCAGTCACCAGATTTTAATCCAGTTGAAGGAGACTTGGACCAATTTGTCACCTTCTCCCCAGATTATTACCGCATCTATAAAAGCTTTATATACTGCTTCCAAAAGTTTTAAAGATAAAACATGCTATTTTTGTAATGCACGGAGGAAGATTTTGGAAAGAAAGCCAGGTTTACAATTTCTCGCCGTCGTTTCCAGTCTTTATGTGGAGCCAATCTCACTGTCTCCTATTTTTAGCCTCCCATTTATCTGACAGATAGAGTGATATAAATTTTCTCATTTATCTCTGCTCCTTTAAGAACAAAACACAAAGGTACACATTGGAAATGTGGCAGGTGGTGTTAATCAAGAAGTGCCTGACAGATCTGTGGAGGTGTATTTAATGCACGCACACACACACACACACACACACACACACACACACACACACACACACACACACACACACACACACACACACTGCTGCATTTTGGATTGTGTCCTTAACAAGCTCCACACTTCCCTTGCTGGATCTGTGTGCACTCCAGCCTTTAATGTCTGTCTCTGCAGAGGGGTCACAGCCAAAAGCATTATTGGCACAACACTCTTGACAGCCCACATAAACAGTTTGTTTCTAAATGCCTTGGTAGGCTGGACTTTGGGGGGGGGGTAAAAAGCAGTTGAGACAAAAGCTGCCTAAACCTTGAAAGAAAAAAAACAAAACAAAAAAACCAATCCCTCTCTTCTGCTCAGTTAGAACCTACTTTGGGATTTCCGAGTGGGGACCGAGGGACCGCATCTGATGTTCAAGGTCTGGACATTGGACAGAGGCACACATACTAATTGCTGAGATAAGAGCGGGGCTGATCAAATCTCAGTGCACCGAGCAGAAAGACAACCCCCACCCCTTCAGAGCAGAGCAGAGAGATAGATGCAGCTCGAAACTGGGCAGCAGCCAGAGTCCTCACAGTGGAGCCTCACACTGTGATACATGAATAAATGAATGAATGTGGTCAACACTGGGACTACTGTTATTGTTGTGGGCGCATTGGTGGGGGTGAGGGGGTCTTAATAAATTTAAATTCCTGATGGAGAGATGCATGAGCCAGGTTCTACCCAGGTCGTCATGATCCGTTATCGATCTAGTTTTGTGGTGTTCGAGCTGTTTATATGACAACTGAGACATTAATCCAACCATTATGGTGTTTATTATTATTGTTATTATCATTATTTTTTAAATAGTTTTAAAAAGGAAAGTCGATTCAGCTTCATATCACTTTGAAGCTTTAACTTTTGGTGATTGAGATCATATTTTTATAATAAAAGATGTTTATCAGAGGCGTGTGTCCCATTTATTATCATGCCTTGACTAACTGTTGCAAAAGTTTAACAAAAATAGATAAACTTGGAATTGCATTTTGTCTTTGTGGATCAAGAAAAAACATATGATGAGGTGTCAAGAGAGGAAGTGTGGTACTACTGTGGAAATCAGTATCTGAAGTTGGTGCGGGACATTGGGACAATCCAGTTGGAGTGACAGATGAGTCCCAGGTGGTGGTGGGATTACATGAGCGAGCGTCTCTGAGTCCCTTCTTGTTTGTAGTGGTGATGGACAGGTTGACAGATGAGGTCAGGCAGACGCCTCTGTGGACTATGACATTTGGAGATGACACTGCGACCTATAGTGAGAACAGGTGGAAGAGAGCCTGAAGAGGTGGAGGTATGCACCGATGAGAATAAGAACGAAAGTAAGTAGAAACAAGGCAGAATACATGTGTGTGAATGAGAGGGAGTAGGTGGAAAGGCAAAGATGGAACGAGCAGAGGGAGTGAAGGTCCATCCGAAGTAACAGAAACCGCATAAGAGAGGTGAAGAAGAGAGTGCTGGCAGGGTGGAGTGGGTGGAGATGAGTGTCAGGGGTGATTTGTGACAGAAGAGTGAAAGGGCAGGTTTCCAAGATGGTAGCGAGACCTGCTAAGATGTATGGTTTGGAGACAATGGTGCTAACAAGACGACAGGTGGCAGAGCTGAAGATCAGAGGGTTTTTGATGAGAGTGTGGGCAGGGTTAGAAATGAGTGTATCAGAGGGAGCAGTTTAAAAAAAACACAAGGTTAGAGGAAAGGTTGAGATGGTTTGGACAGGAACAGAGGAGGGATAGTGGATATACTGGGTAAAGGATGTTAAATATGGATGCAAAAGGAAGATGGGATTCATGGATGAAGTGAAGAAGGACAGGTTGGTGTGACAAAGAGGATGAAAGGGATAAGGTAGTATTCAGGCAGAAAACAGGAGCAGCCAGAAGAAGAAGAATCTTTTGAGATTTGAGATAACAGAAGCAACTGTAACAGCAAAACCTCACAGTTAAAAGAAAAGAATTTAAAAAATGGAATAAAGTCCTTAAAAAACAAACAAACTACAAATCCACTTAATATATCCTGATGGCAAAGCATGCGTCTGGTGACAGAACAATGGATTCTGGATAAAGAAAATGATCCCTCAGCATATTAGGAGGTTGGTTTGAAACATTTCTGTCAAGCATCAGATCAGATCGCATGTTCACTTCACAAATGTTCTTAACGACTTCGCCATTATCAAAGTTAACGGCAACGCTTTATCCTTCTTAACAACTACTGATACATTAGACACAACCAGCAAAAACAGAACACAGAGCTACAAACAACACCTCAACTGGAATCTGACAGTTTGCTCTTTGTGCTCTTAACAGGATCCACACAAGTAAAGAAACAAGGAAGCAGTGGTACAGGTATTTCCAGACCATTTTCCTTGTTCTTTAAATTATTATTATTATTATTATTATTATAACTTAGAGTAGGTGGGTGAGAGGAGGATGTTAGCCAAGCTGAAGTCCATTATGGGCAACACTTCTCAGCCCCTGCATGAGACTGCGGAGGCCCTGAGCAGCTCCTTCAGCAGCAGACTGTCACAGTCATGGTGCAGGACAGAGCGCTATCGCAGGTCCTTCATCCCGACAGCAGCCAGACTGTAAAAATATCCACACAGAATAAATACTAGCTAAAATACATGTGTATCATTATCACTCCCACTGCACCTTATGTACATATACAAATAATACTAATAACAATAATTACCTGGGTGTATATAGTAACCATATGCACACAGCATAGTATTCTGGCTTTTTTGTACACTCATCTTTCTTACTTATTTATCTATTTTTTTCTTTCTATTTTTATTTTTCCAGTATCGCTCTAATTCACTTTTCTTCCCATCCCTTGAGCTCCTGTAACAAGTGAATTTCCCCACTTTGGGATTAAATAAACTCTATGTGTCTATTACTTTCAAACATGGAAAAACAGAACAATGGAAAACTTCTATTAAATGATATGTTATATTGTTATATTAGGTTAGAAGACAGTATAAAGAAAACCATAAAACACGTGGAAAATTTCTGCAAAATATGAAAGCAGAAGCCATTTTCGTACTGTAGCTAATTCATAGACTGCATATTGTAGCACCAGAAGAAGCAAAAAAAAACAAAAAGGAGGATGCATGCAAGAAAACAAAACACATAAACAAATGCAGGTGCATATCCCTGACTGAAAATGGCTTCATTCATCTTCGCAAACAGTTTCTCACAAGTGAATGGCAGCTATATAAATCACTGTTTACTCGGCTGTCTGAGAAAACAAATTTCACCAGAAGAGGGAGACATGAAATCCCTGTGAAAATGACCAAACAGCAGCTACGCTCTCCTCGCTCTTGTTTGAGTCTGCAATAGAACAATTCAGCTCAACGCTAATATCATCAAATATTATTAACCTCACAGCCCTACCAATATGAATTTCAGCCGCGGTTCCATTACATGCAATTTACGGTGCTGCCGCTATGCTCATTTCTCTGTGTTTGATTTCCAAATAATTCCATATGACACCTGTTAGATGAGCCGAGTAGATGTGGGTCATCTTTTGGATTTGGCCCTGACAGTCAGATGAGGAGGAATTTTCTTCCTGGCAGTCGTTCGCTTCACCTGGACTCTAATCCCATACCATCAATATGACAGAAATAAGTAATCCTGTATCAAATGCTCTTTTAGCTACACAAGTCTAATTCACCGTATCCTCGGAATAGGAATTTAATGTCTCTTCAGGAAATGAATTAATGGCGGACTCTGAGCTCCTCTCCGAGAGAGTTCGAGATATTTTATCACCCTCTTCAAACAGTTCACATCTTCTTCATCTCCGCTGTTAATTATTTCATCTATTTTTGGAATAAACGAGTCATTGGGGTCACTTATAATCACCTAATAACACAAAGAAGATGTTCAAAATACAGAAAAACAAGGAAAAAAAATTGACGGCGTGTCAGTTAAAAAGTGAAGAGAGAAGAGAAAGTCTAATCTGTCAGCAGGCAGACAGAACAGACTTCATTTTGTTCTTGAGTGCTGAGATGATAGCTTTGGATTTCAAATCATGCGGATTGACGTGATGTGAGACTTTTCAACAATCTCCAATAATGACCTTTTCTCAGAACCTACAAACTGCCAGGTAATAACGTGTCTCGGGTGAAAATAGACAATCTTTTGGCACAGGTGAAAAGTGTTACCTCGCATCTCGCTGGAGATGCTCCCCTCCTACAAAGGCCCGTTTCAGCTTGCTTCCACAGGCCCCACGACCCCCACCTCCCCCGGACAAACAACAGCTTCATTCTGTGCCACCGCTGCCGACCTCATTGTCTCTTTGTGAAGGGAAAATCCAGAGTTGCATTCTGTTAAATGGCAAATGGTGCATCGACTGCGAGCGGGACAGACCTTTGCACCACGAGCGCAGGCCTACAGATGAGCACGGACACTGCTGACTCTTCTTCAGGACCGTATGCAAGGAAAACATGGTAAGAAAAGGGGAACTCGACATTCACTACACCTTTCCTAACGTACGTCTAATGTATGCATGCCTGACAACAACATAACTGTTACCTCCTCCTTACACCTAGACCCTTCTCTTCAAACTACTCAAACAGCAGTTTGTCCCCTTCTAATGCTTCCTCTCTTTCGAAATAATGTGTCTGTTGACCTAATGCCGTGTGAAATTTCTCACAAAGATACTTTCTGAAACCAGTCTTGGTTACTCATAGATTAGTCTAACTGAAATGACACCTTAGCCCCAGGTAAACATAAGCCCAATGGTATCAATCAGGGGCATCAGTGGTAAAACGTCTGTTTGATCCAAACATTTTCTGCCGGGGTAAACGGAGCTGATCGTTGCTCGATAAAAGTTTTAATTTAACCAGAATTCACTGTGCCACAGTCATGCTTAAAATAGACAACGCTTCTTTGCACAGCACAGGTTTACCTAAATCTATATTTCTGAAACCGCCCCCAGTCCTGGACTACAAAAACTACATATCCAAAATCACATGTTTAGCTTGCGTCAAACACCACAGTGTTACATGACAGCAGATGGTATGGGATTTATTTAGACTGACTGCGTGCTGTAATTGTATAATTCCAAGTCTGCATCTCACATTTATGGAGAGCTTTATTATAATTACTGCAGTGCTCTCAATATGTTGCTTTTAGAAGCAGATGCTACTTCCACAATCACAAACAGACGCTCAGACATCAAAGTAATAAAAGAAAATCTCCTAAAATACAAACAGAAAACACAGCCTCATATTATTAAGTGTAGTCCAATGCATAGAAAAATAACTTGAACGAGCTCATTATACTTTAATCACCCAGGAAGAAAGGTGACACACACCTGTACAAATCTGACTCCATACATCTGGACCGGTCGGTGTTAAAAAAAAAACACCTGTCCTCTTAATTAAACCTGACAGAGCGTGACAGGCAGACTCTTGCTGATGAGCGAATGGTCAGAACACAGTTTTTGTCCTGAGTAAGCAAACTTAGCAAAACTTTATGAAACAAGAATAGAATGGAAGTTGAGGTCTGACATGTCCACTGGGGTTCTTGCAGAGTCTTGATGGAGACACATTATCAGTGATTGAAAACCCAGTGGCTGTCAGTCATCCCTTTCACTCTGAGAAAACAGCGGGAGTTGCAGGGGCCAAAGGAGTGCAAGGCTGGTTAAAAGGATTTCAGTCTACTACTCAAGGTAAGCTCCAGCAGTGCACCGCCCGATGGGCATCAGACATCAGACTTCAATAACAATCTTGCTCCATTTGTGCAAAAAAGAAAAAAACAACAACACTAACACGTTGCTTTAAATGGAATAATGAGACTTTGTACTGTTGCACAACATCTGCAATGCAGTGCCAAGATGTACAGCAGCGCTTTCTTGTGAAAGCCTAGCCTGTAGATTTAGTGTTTAATAAATCTAACTGTCTCTGTGCTGTGCATCTGTGTGCAATATCTAATGGCTGACATTTAACAGTTTCTCTCGGCTCCCATCGGAGCTCAACAAGCATTAACTCCAGTATTAACTGTTGCTTTAGCTCACAGGCTGGTGAGGCTGCTGGCAGCGGTGTGCGCAGTCGGACTTCTCGGAGGATTGGTTGTAGGTGTCTGGTTTCTAGGTGAGTCATTGTGTCTGTGAAAGAATCTCTAAATGAGCTCAGTAAGAAACAGGAAGTGGAAATGAATGCGCAAACGGCCCAGTTTGAGATACTTAAACGCCTGTGAATCTTAAGGTCAATGTAAATTTAGACAGAGCTTATTGAATATTAGCATTTAAAAGGTTCAATTATTTTCTTGATACATATACAGCAGGAGCTGCTTGTCAAAGTTTTGAAAACTTCCCGGAGACATCATTAGTTGGAATGCTGCAGTTTAAATTAGTACGTGCCAGCATGTTTCAGAAGGCTGCATCATTTTTTTTTGTGTTAACAACACCAAGGAGACCAATAGCTTTAGTCCCGGTACCTAAATGCTTTTCCTAAGTGATTTAATTGGCTGACATGTCTGCACTCATATCACAGAACCATGAGGTTATAATATGTGTACAATGTGGGTTGGCATTGTCTTGCTGAAACACCCATAAATCTGACCTGAAAACCACATTGTTGCATTGTTATGCTGCATGACAGCATATGCTACTCTAAAACCTCTTCTCTGCATGCAGCAATAACGGTGCCTTTCACGCAAGTCATGTCAACTAATGGATCCCCATACCATTACAGATGCTGGCATTTTAGCTGTGCATTGATGTGCATTGGTCCCTCTCCTCCTTAGCTCAGAGGAAAATGGTTTTTAGAAACAATCTCAGATTTTTAATTAGTCAGACTACAAAAGAGTTTTCCACAGAATTTGCCTCAGTCCATCTCAAATGAGCTCGGGCCCAGAGAATCGTGAGGCATTTCTTCATCTTTTAGCTTGTACTTGCAGATACCCGAGTGTTACTGAGTCCATTCACTGATTTTTATTTTAACCCGCTTTTAATGCAGTTCAAGCAACTCAAGATTGTTTTTGTTTAACCCTTTTCCATACATTTATTTAGCTTCTCTGAATCTTTTAATGATATTATGTGCAGTAGATACCTCATTCCTTAAGTCCTTTGCAGTTTTAGACTGAGAATCATTACACTGAAGTTGTTGAACTATTTGCCCACAGAGTTGTGAACCCGTCTCTCTTCTTCTGAAAGAGTCAGCCTCTCTGGAATGCTCTTTTATCCCCAATCATGTTACTCATTAAACTAATCAGCTGTGAGATCTTCCTCTCAAGTTTTTTTTTCTCATCTAGTCTTACACAACCTTTCCAGGGTTTTGTTGCTCTCATCAGAACTTTTAAAATCAAGTGAGAATATGTTTTAAGAAATAATAAACTTTTCACATGTCTTTGTATAGCTAGTAGTTAAACACACATTTTTATTGTTTGGCAAATCATTGCATTGAAATGATATTTCCCTGATTCAGACTTCTGGTGTAAGTAAACTGATACTTTTTTTAAAATGTCAAACAATTTTAATGGACAACATGAAAAATTGATAATTCATTAAATGGTTTGTGTTTTTGGAGCCTTACTATAATCACCAGCTAAAAATCAGGGCAATGTTGGGCTCAGCTGCCCCAATTTAGATTTTTTATTCACTGCATTGAAGTCTCTCAAATTTGATGGAAACATGCGACAACATTCAAGTTAAGATAGAGAAAATGCATTTTGAAAAAATGAATCATTTTTTTTAAATTAGCTGTTTTCTAATTAGCTGGATTTGCAGATAGAAATGAACAATATTTAATGACATTTTAATGCTGTCCCAGACGCTGGTCTGTTTTGGGTTCTCATTCAGATAATCTGGTAATATTAGGAAAAATCAACAATGTTTTGCTGCCCATTTTGCAGCCTGATTAAAAGATTATCTCTTTTAATCCACTTTTAGTCAAACTTTTGCTGAGGCCATCGTCCTCCCAAAGTCCAGTGGGGCTCGGGGACACAAAGGAGACATCCTTCTGCAATGTGACGGAGGATATTTCCGTATCTGACTCGCGGAAAGGTCTGTGTGTACTCCCTCGTGGTAGCGTTTCTTTCACTGTTTTATGAATTATAATGCAGCACGTTAATGTGTGGCTGCTTAGCTTATTGTATGTGCTTCATTATATCAGGTCATGGGTCACCTCTGAAGTGTTTCTTAATTGAATAGAAACAAAAATTAAAATTCAGCAGCTGCTACTTGTTGTCTTCTCTTCACTCCTGAGAGATGCCCATTGACCGACATGAAAACATCACACATAATAATCTGTTTCTACTGACTACATTAGCATAGATACTTGTGTTTTCCCTAATCATTTCCCACTCATAGAAGGGGCTTGATCATAAACGTTGACTGAGAGCTTGTCTCTGGAGGGATTTTCAATCAATCAGGTTCAGTGTTTTACAGAATCAGTCCCGAGAACTCCCTCCTGGAGATCCAGCTGGGGAAGCTGCCCACCTGGCTTCCAGTGTGCTATGAGAGGTGGAACTCTTCGCTGGGAACACTGGTCTGCAGACAGCTGGGTTATCTGAGGTGATGCTTTTCCGCAGTCTGCGAGGATCACATGCTGCTTCTTTATAGCACCATTTAAAAAAGCTGAGAGCCCATTCTCTAACTTGGTTTAATTTTAGGTTGAAGGCTCGCCTTATTTATGATCTATTAATACCTCATTTACAATCTTGCTTCACACCTCATGAGACTAAATTATCGCAATACTCACTCCCACCCATTTTTCAAATGTTCCCTTACCAGACTGACCAAGCATAAAGGAGTGAACCTTACTGATATCGGGCCAAACTACACTGACGGCTTCATACAAATTACCTCAGAACAAAAGAGCAGCCTGGAAAATATGTGGCAGTTCAGGTAAGGCAATCTGTCAGAGGACATCACACTCATAATGGTGCAGGGAAAATTGCGTCCGCTAATACATTAATTATGCATCATTAGTTACCCAATTTATTTTCATTTAGGAGGAGTTGTATCACAGGGAAGGTTATCGCTTTGCAGTGTTTTGGTGAGCAAATTAAACTTAACTTTTAATTTGAGTTTGCGCCTTGCACAAAGGCCAGTAGTGTTTTTGTACAAAAGCTTTATATGGGAGCAGGATGAATGATGGCGTCTGCTGCTGCTCTTTCTGACCAACCCAATTCCGTTTCATTTTGATGAATGGATCTCTAGAGTGTGGCACACGAGCAAAGCTACCCAGGATAATCGGGGGCGTGGAGGCCACGCTGGGCAGGTGGCCCTGGCAGGTCAGCCTTTACTACAGCAACCGTCACACCTGCGGAGGCTCCATCATCACCAGTCAATGGGTAGTCACAGCTGCCCACTGTGTACACAAGTAAGACTGCTGACCTGACAAGTACTAAAGGTCAGAGGTTGGAGCCACGATGAAGGATAAAAATCAGTCATTAACAGCTGTACCGGTGTAGCAGTATCAGGATCTACTCTCTCTTTTCTTTTCCCAAATGTCAGCTACAGGCTACCTCAGATATCCAGCTGGGTGGTCTATGCTGGCATTGTGACTCGCAGCTCTGCTAAAACAGCTCAGCATGCAGGATACGCGGTGGAGAAGATCATCTACAACAAGAACTACAACCACAGGACCCACGACAGCGACATAGCACTGATGAAGCTGCGGACCCCGTTCAATTTCTCAGGTCAGCCTCATCGCAGCACTCTTTAAAAAAAAAACAAACAAAAAAAACCACACACACACACACACACAAAAAAAAGTACTTTGGCTTCAGTTTACCTTTTTATATGCTAATAACAATTTATCATAAACAATATAAGTGGTATTGCTAGTGATATACACTTCAAATGAAAAGCATCCCAATATCTTTAACATCTCACAGAATCAGCTGTTCAGACATAAGCTTATGGTCTCAGCAACAATTAAAGCACTGCCTCCAGATGTTTTGAGACATCCTGAGGGATCTTTAGGTCTGTCTTTGTCATTTTGTTTCTTCTTTACCTTACAACATAAGGAGCCTTGAAATGACTTGTTTTGAATTGACATAAATAAAAATGAACCGAATTACAGATGTAGCTTCCAAAGGACAGAATACATAAATATGCAAATACTGTACAGTGTAAAAAAACAAACAAAAACAAAAAAATCAGGCCATCATATAGAATCCAATGAGAGAGACGCAGGGCTATTTTTGTACACGATGCATTTTATGTAGATTCGGTTATATTTAAGTTATTCTGTGAGTTTGTATGGCTGCTACCTTTTTGTTTGCTCTGATCTCAGTGGGAGACAACTTTCTTTATGTTGTATACAGGACCACAGTTGGCTTCTCTATCATAAAAGCTTCCTTGTTTTTCAGCTGTGATTTGATATGAGCGTAGAGACTAAAGAGAAAACAGCTTTCTTGTGATAAACACTGAAGTCTAAACGTGGTAAAACACGTCTCAGTGAAGGGTGGTTTTATAACACTCCTTAACATGACTTATGAATCCAACCATATTCGCAGTACAACTTAATGTCTCTTGTAACTATTTAAATGTATTAAGAGGCAAAATTCCTCCTTTTGACTAGACACAATCAGGCCCATCTGCCTGCCTCAGTATGACTATGACCTTCCAGGAGGAACACAATGCTGGATTTCTGGATGGGGATACACACAACCCGACGGGGGTAAGATGTTACTACACTGCTCTGCTCTTAAACAAATGCATCTCTGCTACAAATCTAATCCATACTCAGATGGTGACAGAGTGAGCCAAGTGTATTAGTGGAGCAGTCCTAAATTGAAACTTTCACCCGTAGTTCATTCACCCGACACCCTGAAAGAGGCTCCAGTCCCAATAATAAGCACAAAGAAATGCAACAGCTCCTGCATGTACAATGGAGAGATCACAGCACGGATGCTATGTGCCGGCTACACAGAAGGAAAAGTGGACGCATGTCAGGTCAGAGGCTTGTTTTGACCACTAGATTTAGCTTCTCTTTTATGAGTAGATGCAGTGAACAGTGTTTGGGTCTACCTCTCCAGGGGGACAGTGGGGGCCCTCTGGTTTGCCAGGATGACAGTGTATGGAGGCTGGTGGGAGTCGTCAGCTGGGGAACAGGCTGTGCTGAGCCCAATCATCCTGGAGTTTACACCAAAGTGGCCAAATTCTTGGGCTGGATCTACGAGATGATAGAGGTAAACAGCATTTTTAAATTCTACAGTGGAGAATAACTAACTATTTACAGGACAGCACAGAGGTTTAGTATCATTCGATACTTCTTTATTGATCTCAAAAGATTATATATATATATATATATATATATATATATATATATATGTATGTGTGTGTGTGTGTGTGTGTGTGTGTTCGATACAGTGCTTTGATTTATTTTATCAACTTTCCTTCTGACGATGCTGTCTGTGTTGAGCGCTCAGTGGATCTGCGCTCGACAGTGCAGCCTAGGCGGAGTAGTCGAACGCAGATTCACTGAGCGCAGGGCAAGCTAGCGAGACAGAAGTTAAGCTCTCCTTGCAACATGGCAATTTGAACCTCCCCCACCCTCATTCAGATCTGGCCAGATGTGACATATGACCCTGAAGGTAAGCGCGTCATGGACTAAAGTAAAACAGTATGTTGGATGTACCACGCAATGTTCAATTACATGGGTGGGAGCTAGTGTGTTAGTGCTGTTGTTGGCCATCCAGCCCCATGTGGGCCAGTAGCTCGTTAACGGAGATTTGCCGTGTTGTGGCGTTAATGTCATTTCAACGAGATTTACGCTGACAGCACTAGTGGGAACACAACAAATATGACTGCACATTTACACCGACATCATCCTAGTGCAAAGACAAGTGGAAGCAGACAAAAACAACAAGCACACATGCTACAAACTTTACCCAAGTCATTTAGACAGCCGTTAGCACATGATTCTCCTTATGGGGACCTGATATGTTTAATATGCTGCTGAGAATATAGCCCAGAAGAAGCGTATAGTATAGCTTTTATTTTGGAAAGAGCCATTTCTCTGTAATAAACTCTTTTCCAAAGATGAGTGATTCCTCAATAAGATACAGGGCTCGCAAAATCGCCTGCCTAATGTCCTGGGGCTAGCGATTTTTCCAGTCGTGCTACCAAAATCTATCTGCCCTGCCCGTCGGGCTATCATAGGAAGAAAAATATGTCAATGCTTTTGCATTCTTTCGGAAATGTAGCTGGGTAATTATGTCATTGGCATCGGTGAGCCACTGCCAATATGTGACATATTGAAATCGCATTTGAATTTGCGCTTGTTTTTTGCTTTCACTTTGCAATTGGCAAACTGTGTATAGAGAGCGACAGCACTGATTGGTGAGTGATGATAATTTGTGCACCAATTCCTCTGACATTGTCTTATCAATCGTTAGCTTACTATGCAAACATGACAAGTGAAATCTCCAGCAGCAAGCTTAAACATGTGAGAGGTTGATCGCGCAGAGAATCGCTGAGCGTTATGTGAGTGCGTGTGTAAAAGCAGCAGGATATATATTGTAGTGGGTCATGGCTGTTCGGGGTTCTGTTTGTACAGTTATGTTTTGTTTATGTTGCCATAGTGACGGGTGACGCCCTCTCGCTGCGACGGTGTGTCCTTCCGGGGTCAGAGGGCGCCCTGTGTGGTGTTGTTGTTGTTGCTGTGCTGTTGCCACGCTGAGCAGTTAGCTAGCGGCAGTGTTCTTCTGCAGATGTCAATAAACGGCTGTGCTCCCTGGCTAGCTCACGGGAAGCAAGACCAAACGATACCTCCGTCTCCCCCTTGTCTGAGCTCGCCACATTGGTGTCAGAAGTGGGATGATAGTGGCACCCCATGTTCTGACCTGAGTGACTTTTCCCCCGCCGGTCGTGACCGGCCGGTGCGCCAAAAGAAGGCACCTGGACATTTGCAGGACTTTGTGTGGTGTAATGGGGTCGTCGGGGACGACTGACCCCTTGGGTGGGGGCTATGTAGCGGGTCAGGGCTGTTCGGGGTTCTGTTTGTACAGTTGTGTTTTGTTTATGTTGCCATAGTGACGGGTGACGCCCTCTCGCTGCGACGGTGTGTCCTTCCGGGGTCAGAGGGCGCCCTGTGTGGTGTTGTTGTTGTTGTGCTGTTGCCACGCTGAGCAGTTAGCTAGCGGCAGTGTTCTTCTGCAGATGTCAATAAACGGCTGTGCTCCCTGGCTAGCTCACGGGAAGCAAGACCAAACGATACCTCCGTCTCCTCCTTGTCTGAGCTCGCCACATTGGTGTCAGAAGTGGGATGATGGTGGCACCCCATGTTCTGACCCGAGTGACTTTTCCCCCGCCGGTTGTGACCGGCCGGTGCGCCATAAGAAGGCACCTGGACATTTGCAGGACTTTGTGTGGGGTAATGGGGTCGTAGGGGACGACTGACCCCTTAGGTGGGGGCTAAGTAGCTGGTCAGGGCTGTTCGGGGTTCTGTTTGTACAGTTATGTTTTGTTTATGTTGCCATAGTGACGGGTGACGCCCTCTCGCTGCGACGGTGTGTCCTTCCGGGGTCAGAGGGCGCCCTGTGTGGTGTTGTTGCTGTGCGGTTGCCGCGCTGAGCAGTTAGCTAGCGGCAGTGTTCTTCTGCAGATGTCAATAAACGGCTGTGCTCCCTGGCTAGCTCACGGGAAGCAAGACCAAACGATACCTCCGTCTCCTCCTTGTCTGAGCTCGCCACATTGGTGTCAGAAGTGGGATGATGGTGGCACCCCATGTTCTGACCCGAGTGACTTTTCCCCCGCCGGTCGTGACCGGCCGGTGCGCCAAAAGAAGGCACCTGGACATTTGCAGGACTTTGTGTGGTGTAATGGGGTCGTCGGGGACGACTGACCCTTGGGTGGGGGCTATGTAGCGGGTCAGGGCTGTTCGGGGTTCTGTTTGTACAGTTGTGTTTTGTTTATGTTGCCATAGTGACGGGTGACGCCCTCTCGCTGCGACGGTGTGTCCTTCCGGGGTCAGAGGGCGCCCTGTGTGTTGTTGTTGTTGTTGCTGTGCTGTTGCCGCGCTGAGCAGTTAGCTAGCGGCAGTGTTCTTCTGCAGATGTCAATAAACGGCTGTGCTCCCTGGCTAGCTCACGGGAAGCAAGACCAAACGATACCTCCGTCTCCTCCTTGTCTGAGCTCGCCACATTGGTGTCAGAAGTGGGATGATGGTGGCACCCCATGTTCTGACCCGAGTGACTTTTCCCCCGCCGGTCGTGACCGGCCGGTGCGCCAAAAGAAGGCACCTGGACATTTGCAGGACTTTGTGTGGTGTAATGGGGTCGTCGGGGACGACTGACCCCTTGGGTGGGGGCTATGTAGCGGGTCAGGGCTGTTCGGGGTTCTGTTTGTACAGTTGTGTTTTGTTTATGTTGCCATAGTGACGGGTGACGCCCTCTCGCTGCAACGGTGTGTCCTTCCGGGGTCAGAGGGCGCCCTGTGTGTTGTTGTTGTTGTTGCTGTGCTGTTGCCGCGCTGAGCAGTTAGCTAGCGGCAGTGTTCTTCTGCAGATGTCAATAAACGGCTGTGCTCCCTGGCTAGCTCACGGGAAGCAAGACCAAACGATACCTCCGTCTCCTCCTTGTCTGAGCTCGCCACATTGGTGTCAGAAGTGGGATGATGGTGGCACCCCATGTTCTGACCCGAGTGACTTTTCCCCCGCCGGTCGTGACCGGCCGGTGCGCCATAAGAAGGCACCTGGACATTTGCAGGACTTTGTGTGGGGTAATGGGGTCGTCGGGGACGACTGACCCCTTAGGTGGGGGCTAAGTAGCTGGTCAGGGCTGTTCGGGGTTCTGTTTGTACAGTTATGTTTTGTTTATGTTGCCATAGTGACGGGTGACGCCCTCTCGCTGCGACGGTGTGTCCTTCCGGGGTCAGAGGGTGCCCTGTGTGTTGTTGTTGTTGCTGTGCTGTTGCCGCGCTGAGCAGTTAGCTAGCGGCAGTGTTCTTCTGCAGATGTCAATAAACGGCTGTGCTCCCTGGCTAGCTCACGGGAAGCAAGACCAAACGATACCTCAGTCTCCTCCTTGTCTGAGCTCGCCACAATATTTTAGTTCTGCTGAGCCAAATAAGACAGGTCAGGGTGAAGAAGTGACAGCCAAAGAAAAGCTTACCACAAAACGGAAAAGTTATGACAAATCACACTATAAGGCAAAAAGAAAGTGCAGCTTTATGGTTTCATGGACAAAAGAATTTCTGTGGCTGCAATATGACAAGCAAAATAACCAGGGCTGCACATAAGTGGTCCGCAGGTGCGTATTCGCTGTCAAAATAAAAAACGGGCACAAGATAAGAAGTTGCAACGCGTTTGCATACATAAGATTTTCAGGAGGAGGACAGACATTTGTTTAGAACTCTTAAAGATGTCGAAGAAGCTCCTTTAAGCAATTACTGTGATGTTCCTCCACCTCCAAAGAAATGTCAGAAGGAGTTCGAACCGCAAAAGAAGCACGTATTCTCGGAAAAGTAGTTGCAGGAGGTGAGCTGGCTTCAAACAAATGATGAACGCACAGAGATGTGGGGTGGAATGTGCCGTGAAAATTTAATAAATGACAAATTAAAAAGGCATGAACATTTTTTTGTATCGAAAAAATATCAAACCGTGACACCAAAGTATCAAACCGAACCGTGAATTTTGTGTATTGTTGCACCCCTAATATATTATATATTAAAAAGTTAGCTCCACTTTTGCCAGTTTTAAAACATTATGTAGAAAGAAATGCATCAAAGCAAGCCTGTGAAATAGGTCATTTGTTTTTGTAGAAGTACCCTGCTAGTAACAGCTCTTTGAACTGAGGATATTTACATATCATGGAATTTTTTCTTTTTTTACAGGGATAATACTTTTACTTATCTAAAATGTTACAATAAATTCTTATATCACTACACTGCAGAAAGCGCTAATTAGATTCATCCATGCCGCTATTTGAATTTCTTTCTTTTTGTATTTTCAGCCGGATTGAGATGGAAACTGTAAAACAGAACAGCGATTTCTAATATTAATTCTTTCCTTTTTTTTGCAGAATTACTGAGGAGGGCTCATGAAATACAACAAAAAGAAGGAAGCTTCTGATGAAACTGGTGGAAACATTAGAAAACTACAGTTATACATGATACTTTTTATTTTACATGTCAGTTATATAATGTACACATAAAGACAGACTGAAAACATCAACATGCATTTTTACGTTATGTTTTTCATGTATTGAAAATAAATTATGCTTCTTATTGTCATGTGTGGTTTCTGAGCCGCAGTTCCGCATCTCACCGCCTGGTGGCAACAGTGTTATGTTTCTATGGCAACTGACAACATTGGCCTAACTAGTGTTAGCGATTACAACTAATGAGCTACAGAACGTAATTAGTTGAGGGTTTTTTTAAAATTAATATTTGTGTGATACTGCTCCATATTTGTCGGCTATTTAAGGTGTTTCTATAACACATGCTCCTCTATAACACTGCTGACCGGCTGGTTTTCTGACGCACAAACTTTTTCTGCCAACTAGCTAGAGTTAGCTAGGTAATAAAAGTACGACAGTTACCTTAACATGTGCTCCACTGGCAGTACAGAGGATGTTTTGCAGCAGATGAGCAAACTGTGGTCCATGCTGGATGATCTCTCTGAAAATGACCCTGCAGCCTACCGTACGCTTATAGAGAAACAGATAAAGGAAGGAGCTGAATTCAGAGCGCCGCCCGAGCTGGACTCCTGCCTCTGCACTGAAATACTGGTGAGTTTCATTCGTGAAGGCTCCTTCCTGTGTAGGCCCCAGTCCATACTGTGGTCCATACAGGTGTTGCTCATCACATTCTTTGGTTCAGCTAGAAAGGAAGCCCACCTTTATTCCTCCAATCATAAATTAATACTCTAAATTCAAACATAAATTAGGGAAAGTTAACTGTCATATCAGAAAATGTAGGTAGGTAGGATACAGCTCAGTACCCATCATCAAAAAAAAAAAAAGATTCAGTGTCCCAGGTCCTGTCATTGGTACAAGAAATTACATTACAGGAGAATTTGGATTGGGAACAGCACCTACTCTGCAAAAGGCTCACCCAAGTAATGCAGGCATCTGATGGAGGAGGGGGACTGCCAGGAATCAACTAGATGTGCAACAGCAGTCCCCTAACTTCAGCAAGGCCGCTGAATGATGCGGGAAGGAATAAAAAGGAAGAACAATCAAATGTAGTGAGCTATGGAATATGAAAACAAAACAGCCCACATATGATGTACTGCTCACTCCAGCAGTCTGTTACTTGTTTGCAACCCTCAAACACATCCTGGTGGGCTGCAAAAGCAGTCTAACACATGGAGGATATACTTGGTGACATAACCAACTAACTTGTCGGTAGCTATTAGTCAGGAGAGTATAGACTAACTGCAGCTCATTAGAAGTTAAAGCCACCTTTCTGCAACAAACAACCTTCATCTGGGAAGGTGAGAAATAGCATGTCAACCCCGTCTTTCTGAAATACCTTTACACTTGAAATCAACCTGGACCCAGCTCTGGTTCTCTGGTCCAGTTCCTGCCAGTCTGTCTTCACTGTAGAACTGATCGTCCCTTGGGAGGATGCAATCAATAAGGCATATGACAAGAAAAAAGCATGAGCAAGCTGAGGAAGAGGACCAAGGCTGGAAAGTGGAAGTCCATTCAGTGTAAGTGGCCTGTAGGGGCTTTGCAGCCAGCTCCACAGTAAGACTGACGAAGGAAGTAGGCATTAGGAAGGGAAGCCTAGTACAAGTTAATCAAAAAGCTTGCCACTCTTGTCAAAAGAAAGTAGTCACAGGGGCTGGCTGAAGCAGAAGGAGACCGTGTGGCCTGCCAAATTACTGGTGGGTGCCATGTGAAATACACCCAGGTCTGATCACCCTGTGGTGGGTCTGCTTTGGCGGAGGGAATCTTGTGAGAAATTACGGAAATGCACTATGAAGCTGGGGTACAAAGCTGATGATGTGTCGCACTGACAGATACATACCCACATGGTCAGCAGCAAACACCCCATCTAGAGGACTTCTCCAACCCACTCAGGTCTGTGTTATACTGATAGGGATTATAACTTCTAGTCCTATTAATTAGTGTAGTCCATTACAAGCTGTGAAAGCTTTGTCATCAAATTTCTTGTTTTTATCCAACCAAGAGTAAAGTAATAACCTAAAAATATTTCTGCTGAGGAGCTGTAAGCTGTGCTTGCTTTATATATCCTAAAATACACAGGCTGCACGAGAAACACAGGCTTTTTCTTCACTCTGCAAAGATGCTAGACTTTTATCCACTTAGAACTTTGAAATTGAATTTGTTTTGACAGATCCTTTTGACAGCACTGTGTTTCTGTGACAGAAACCAAAGAAAGGCCTGCTGTACATCAACATATGCGGCTGGAAACGTGTGCCTGCGCCTCAGGATCCCAGCAGGCCTTTACCAGTGTACACTGGAAAACTGGAAACAGGCACAAATGAAGATCAAGGTGTGTGTCAAGCTGCAGACCTGCCATTTGTATTACATGACACAAGCAAGAAAGTCATACTTTTTCCTTTACAGGCTGGTATACTGTGCTGGATGTGGCATTAAATCCTGTGTTGCTGCAGGAAAGTAGGGAGAACAAAGCAGAGATTAACCAGGTCTATATGCTGGCCCTGAGCTTTGCCCAGAAGCAGCTTGGGATGACGTTATCACAGCAGTACAGAGTTGTCAACAGTAGCCCAAATAGTAGCCCAGATGAGTTGCACTGCCGGCTTGGATTTCAGAAGTTGTCCAGTGCCCCCAAACAACCCAACACAGGTAATGCAATAAGACTGTCAACCCTGACAAGCTTTGATAAGCACTTTATGTTGAACCCATGCTCTTTACCCACTCTCCTTTCACCTCCTAAAACAATTTTCCTGATAATCCATAGTCCTTTTTTTTTTTTTTTACAGCCGGTCAGACACCAGCTGCCCTCCTGCAGCACATCTCCTCCCTACAATCAGAAAACCAAGAGGACTCTGCTCCTCAAATTATCTTTAGGCCTGCAGAGAAAATAAAGAAGGATTTGATCCATGTCATCTCAGCCGCTTCTGTAGAGCCTCAGAAGCCAGAGTATCGACTCGAGGTGAAGACCGATGCAGCAGGAGTTCCTGACAGCGTGGAACTGACGGTGGAGCTGCCAATGGTTTGTTCCATGTCAGAATGCCAGCTGAGCATGTCCAAGGTTAGTGGTTACACACTCCCTTGAACAGTTATAACGAAGCACTTTAGAATCCAGTGTGTGTCAGTGTGTAGCTGGATGTCATAAGAAATACATAATCGACCTGTAGCGAGCCTTAGTAGCACACTGGATGTATTTTTCTCTGCAGGATGACGTCTTACTGGAGGTGGAGGATCTTTACTATTTGCTTGTGGACTTCCCAAAAACTGTAAACGAAGACACCGCGTCTGCCATCTTTAATAAGAAGAAACGAAGACTTACATTGAAAGTGAATGTCTTGTGATCATTTTCCTTAATTAAGAAACAAATGTGCAGTGTTTGTTAAGCTAGCTAAACACTGGCATTGAAAATGCCTCAAACAAAAACAACAAAACTCCTGTTGTGCAATGTACAAATTAAAAAAAAGGGAAAAAAGCACTGAGAGCGCATTGTGCTGTGGAGGGACTCGTATTCTGCCTCAGAATTCAAGTTAACTAACAATAAACAGCTTGCGTGTAAATTGATCCATTTCCAAGAGCAACATGTTTGTGAAACAAATATGTAACAGTGTCCCTTTGTGCTGTGTGGGCTGAGGCTCAGCAGCAAATTTAATTCTAACACCCCCCACCCCCCCCACCCCCCACCCCCTAAAAAAATTAATTGACTTTAATGACAATCTGTGGATTTTGTTTATTAATGTGTGGGCGCGTGAGTGGAGGTGTTTAATGGCTACGAGCTGGTGTCATTACCGTATGCAGGGGGGAATAATTGACAACAAAACGAACCATGCAATAATTTATGTTTATTAAAACATCAAAATTGATGCAGAACAACAACATCAGTGTTTGGCAATCTGGAACACGTGGAAAATGTCAGTAAACACTTCTTTCTTTTTTTGAGGTTTGCATACTATGCACTGATTACAGCGTTTTAAAGCACAGCGTAGCTTGTTTTTTCATATAAAGCTAACATTATTTTATTATTCAAGTATGACTTTACTGACCATTACGTGGTAGTCCCACAAACTTATTTATGAGCTGCAAACAATGTGCGACATGCGGTCCGTAAACGAAAAAAACATTGTATCCAAATGTTTAGATTCTTCATATGAAACATTCGCTTTTAAAACATGGTTTTGTTTTGTACCTTAATGGTGTTAGCTCCATTGGTCCCAGTTTTGTGTCGTAACACTATTCTTTCTTATGGCATCAGAAGTATTTTCAGTAGCTTCCTGGTCCAGTGGGAACAGCTGAGGTTTGTAGTGACGATCTCTAGTTTTTTGGCGCTATCTCCGCTCCCCGTGATCCTCCTCAACCCACGCAACAATCTTCCCCTCCCAGCCAGGGACAACGGCTCCATCCTGAAACACCTGAAAAGCCAGCATCCAGTGTTTACATATCTGAGAGACCCATATCTATACTATAAAAGGTTTGGATAGAAAGTAAAAATGAATACTTGAGGTTATCCAATTCTTTGGGATGGAAATAAGTCTCCCCATGGTGTTTTGAAGTGCACAGTAGGCACAGCTATTATTAGCATATCTTACTCTATAACTGCCGTTTTATATTTGCCAGCTGAAGCCCAATGTGAAGAGAAATAGGGGCTGTAATTTTACTCCCACGCCTACCTCCTCTTTCACTGTGCCAAACTCTGGGTCAAGGGCCTTGAAGTGGTATCTGAAACTGCCTTGTCTGTCTACAGCTGCCTTGAAGTCTCGCAGTGTCACCTCTCCCAGCCTGGAAGCACACATATATCCACACAAACGTTATGCTTTGGATAAACCAGCCCAGGCATCCATATGCGGCTATGGTCAACCAAAACCCAACTAACAATTTGCTTAAAAAATAAAGAACGCTCCAGTGAAGCAACACACAGCACTGTATCAAGCCACCATAAAGTGTTTATATACTCACCTTTTTGGGATGTTAATCAGAAATGGAGTGAGCGAGCGATCTGTGAAGTAGAGCACTTTAGTGGAGACGGCAGTATCCAGTCCTGGGCTGCTGTGTGAGTGCGCCATTTCTGGAAAAAAACCCAGCAAACATTGTTTTTCCACAACCAAAGTCTGAAAGGGTTCTAGCCTCACACTCAGTCATGCCCTCTCTTTGCAGCACAGTGTAATTGAATGGCACAATTTGATTTAACAGCCAGTAGAGATGTTGCGGGGGATGACAAATCCTAAACAAAAACGAGCATTTTGTTTGTCTCACTCGAGCTCGGCGGCCAGGAGTCACGGTCTGTCGAGTTGGCTCTGCGTCCTGGCGATTTGAATTCCTCCTAGAAGAAGAACCAATTACTCATAGCAAACAGTCGGATGTTATCGGTTGCTGAGTCATCATTTGGCAAGTGACAGACGAGCTACTACATTTTAAAATTTCCTCTTTGAGTTGTGAGAGCGAGAGTGTGTACCCCTCTGTCCTGTCTTCGCTGGGTGTCCAGAGAGTGCAGTCTGTCCATG